TATTTGTCAAAAAAAGCTATTATAAATCCTTTAAAAAATTCTAATACACTTATAAGAGATTTAATTAGAGCATTTTCATTTATATAAAATTTAAAATTCTGCTTTCACTTAATTTGAAAGAAAAGTCTAATTAGATCACTACAATGGAATTTTCCCTTCTTTTATTACTTTATTCATATTTCTTTTATTTAATTTTAGTAGACTTAATTTTAATTTGAGGCATTCAAATTTGGTTATCTACTCTTCCTCATTAGCATATCATTTAATGTATTGATTTCTATTTTACCATTATTTTGAAATAAAAAGATAATTACATCATATATAAAAAATAAAATTGCTTATATAAGTAGTGATTTTTGTAATGAGAATATTGTAAATTGTAATAATGTCGAGGGGTTAAATATAAATAAATCTAAAAGTTATAAAGGGTTAAAAGAAAATATATTCAAGTTTTACATGGCAAAAGTAGTATTTAAAGATTTTAAGAAAAAATATTTTTCTTTGTACTAAAGTTCAAACTTTTCAAAAGTTGAGGGGCCCCCTCCCTCATTCCCTGCTCACTCAGTGACTAGGGTGCTTTCTTGGCTGGGATTTGGGCGATATGGGGTGTGGGTTTCCAGGGTGTAAGTTGTTGAGAAAATTGTAATTTAAAATAATTACTTTTTATTTCGGTTAAAATCTCAATTTCGTCTACGTACTTCAGAGGGCCTCTTGATCCCTAAAATATATTTTTTTCAATCCCTTTTTAATTTTTTTATTAAGTTTTTGATGATGTGACATGTTAACTAATGAAACATTTATTTTATTGTAGAAAAAATTGTTATTTAACTACTTGTGATTTTAGATAAATGCAAGTAAAAACTTGAGATTATAAAATATACACATAATATATTTGTGATTCTGGATATATGTAAATAAAAACCCAAAATATCACAATATGCATATAAACACACAAGATTTGCTCTTGGTACAAACAACCACTTGAAATGTTTTAAAGACCTCTTACTTAAAAGAATGTAAAGAAAAGAAAAATAAAGGCATTTAAGATATTGCATGTAATCTCATGTGATTATATACATCTAATACAAATACTTATAAGTATGTTATAAATATCACAAATATTTATGTGCACCAATCTCAAATTATAAGTATGTTATATATATATATATATATATATTTTAAAATATCATGTCTTTCTATGCACTAACTCCAAACTACAAATAATTAAAATGTAATTTTCCCTTTTATTGTATGTGCATTCATATACCTATATTCTTTAGAAACTCCCAAATTTCTATCAACTTCTGCATGTGAATTTCCAGAGTTTTTTTTTCCTTCTATGTCGTCTGCACCAAGCAGCTTTCTAAGTTGAGACAGCTAAGAGAATTAGGGCATAGAATTTTTTTTTTTTAATTCTTTGAAAAAAAAAAAAAGAAAAAAACCAGTGTTCTTAATGGTATAATAAAATGGAAGGTTCTTACCAACTTCACAAGTTATTCCTATGCAATATCCTGGTCCATATCATTCACAATGATATTGGCTTGATGTGGAAGGCGAAGGGAAATATATTCAATTTTCTTGACTACCAAAAGAATCGGAATATATTTCCTCCAAAGAGCTTTGTGACTTCTACACAGTAACTAGGACGATATAATGTTATCCACAACCTTGTTTATGAATTGAATTTATACAACAAAGTACTCGGTGTATAGTTTTGTGGATAGTGCTTAGATAATAATTTTGTTCTTAACACATGGGATTTTCCCACGAGTGTGCACGTCTAACTATCGTACAAAGCTCAAGTCAACTGATTTTTCGTTGAATGTTTTCTCGACAGAAAGTGTATCCAAGTGGCCATTTGGTTGTAACATCTCTTCCACAAATGGCGAGAAGAGCAGTTTCAGTTCCCTCTTATGTTCATGTAATGAAGGAACAAAAAGAAACATAATTAACAAAAGTAAAAAATAAAAAATAAATAAATGATGGGTGTCAAAAATGGCACCATTGACAAGCACAAGTGGAATTATTATTATTGATCTTATTTATGAAACCAATCAACAATGCTCTTGATTGAACTTTATATAGGTATACAGTAAAACTAAGAAAAACCATTCAGTTTCTACCACATTCAAGTAATTACAGGATTAAGGACCAACTTCTACATTATCTTGCACTCTACAACCTACGCAATTCAAGTTGTACAAGATAACAAGAATATAATGTTCACTTCTACTAAAGAAGATTTCTTACTTGGTTCTCAAATGGACAACATTTTGCTTAAAGAACAGATCCCTTTTTAACAAATTCTATACAAAAATATGCTTAATGAATGACAGAGGAGTAATGGAAACATTACCAGAAAGCAGACTTACAGCTTAAATAGAACTAAGATTTAATTGAATAAGCTAACAGATACCTCTTCCATAAACTCAAAATGAGGATAGTTATAGGAAATATAATAACTTCCTTGTGAACATGGAAAATATTAGATGTACAATGCCCTAAGTCACCATACCAGAACACTGCAGGCAAGCTATAGAGCCAGTCAAACTGTATTTCCTTGACAAAAGCCTGCAGAAAGAATGCGTGGACCAAATAGATTCCAGATCATAAAGGTAGCAACAGGCAGGGCCATCACTCCATAAGTAAACTGCCCAGCCAACTGGTGAATATAAATAGAAAATTGAGAAACTTGAATAGACATTCTAATAAACGCAAAACACAAGACAAATGCTTAGTTTCTACAAAAAAATTTAAGACTAAGAAATTGATACCCGCCATTTTGTTGTGTAATGCATGTTTTCCTATCTTATGGCTTGGCTACTTTCAGAGCAATAATACCAACAAAAAAAATTGAATGTTCATGGTTGAGGTAAGCAGTAGATTGTGTATCACAGTATCGCCCCTTATTCTGTTGGGTGACTTGGGTCTACACATGAGGAAGTGTATTATATTAAGGAAACTACCCACCATCAGTTAAGAGCTTCGTTGGTTTTTGTATTGTCTAGAAACATTCTTGTATTCTTATTTTCTTGTTGTGTTTCAAAACTCTTGCTGATTGGTTATGAGTTGGATTACTTAACAAACAACAAACTTCAAAAACAAGTGAGTAGTAAGTGTGTGAAAAAGAGAGGGATGAGAATAGAGCTTACAAGTCATTGGTCATTGTGAGGACAAGAATGATATTTGCATAATGCAATCCAAAGCAAGTAAATATGAAACAAGAATACTGGAGTCAAGTGGCACTTTCTTTATAACAGGGACTTGCAGAAAGCATAAAAAACTAGTTTTTGTTGTTGTTTTTTAGGAAGAAGACTGGATTCAAGCACACAACATTATGATTCTTCTGGCAGCTTGTCTACAGTTACTGGTGTGTGGCATTTTGGAAATATCTAGCTCTGTAGTTACTGAAGGTACTACATAAAGTAACTACTGCAAGTTATGCACTGGTGTTAAAGGTTCTCAAGTGCTATTAAGAACCCAATGGAATTATTCACTTGTACTTCTGAGATGAAATCCTCCTTAGCGATTTCAAATTCTTTAATTAATTAGTAATCATACATGTGATTATGTTTTACTGATAACACAAGTTTTTTTACTAGCAAGAAGAGACAAATAATGATAACATACATTTTTAACCCATTTCTTTCACCATTTAGTGAGAAAATCTCACATCCATCAATTAAGGGAAAAGAGGTGGACTTAAATATAATATGGATCACTAGTTCTCAATATCAATAGTGGTGGCTGCCAGTGAACCTGTCCAGCCTAAGGCAAAAATCACAATACAAAACTAAACACCATATGGAATCAACATATAAAGCTGATTAAATCTGCATATGGCAAAACTCAAAAATGACACTCATGGGTTTCAGGACCTCTACCTTATCATTATGCCATGGCTTCATTGGCAATTGTCTAGCATGTAGGGAAGCAGTACAAACTTCTCAGAAAAGAATAAGTACAAAAAGCCAAGCTCAATACTTGGTGCTGGGTAGAGTTAAGGTATCAGACTTGTGGAGGGTGCTGCCAGGTTGATCTACATTATATCATTACTGTCCCTTGGTGAACTCAGACCAACCAATCAAGATTTGATGATGCTGACTGATATTGCCCTCAAAGACAAACCACTCTGCAACAGGCTATATATGCTCCAGCCCCCAATTAAGTGACGCATGGACAAGAAAATATTTGTTCACAGAAAAATCAAATCAGAGGATGGAGTCCCTCAATCAGATTATGTGTTCTCCATATTAACTGAGGTAAGCATGTATACAGACAGACAACTGAATATTTAAATAGATTACCATGGTCAGTTTTTCAACCTGATAAAAGGTTGCAACCCTTTGCTTTTAACTTCGACTCTAGATCAAAGAACTTCAATCCTGAGATGACTAGGTCTGCAGTCTTTTTCTTCATGTGTTCAATTAATATTTCGTCATATACAATAGCTCTAGCTTCTGTTAAAAGTTTGCGCTTTACTAAATTTGTGAAGATTTCTCTTGCTTTCTCTATTGTCCCATGTTTGCACATTCCAGATATAACAGCAGAACATATAACATCATCCGGAAGGCAACCTTCTTGCAGCATTTCATCCATCACTTCCATTACCTTCTCAGCATCTGATCTACATGCATTAATAACAGCAAGAGTATACTTAAATGCCATAGGCCCACTAGAAACATTAGCTAAGCAGTCACGAACAAGCATCATGGCTGCATCAATCTCTCCGATTTTGCATAGACCTCTAGCAAGAGAACAATATGCATCAACAGTAGGAACACATGACATCTCTACTATTTTATTATGGCAAAGGCATGCCTCCTGTATATCCTGATCTTCAACATAACACATAATCGCAACACTATAAGTGGAGGACTCTGGCATGAGATCTGAATCCTTTATTTCTCCAAATAGAGATAATGCTTTCTTTACCTTTCCAATCTTGTGAAGAGCCTCCATAAGAATATTGTAAATTGAAGTGCTACAGTAACCTTTCACTTTTAAGTCATCAAATACTTCTAAGGCCATCATAGTTCTGTCCTCCTTCCCAACCACAGATGAAAAGAACTTGGAAAGATCTTCAAGCACAGAAAATCCCAGTTTCTTCATCTGCTCAAGCAACATGCAAAAAGCGTCCATTCTTCTCACCTCTGCAAAAGCCACTAACATGGGATTCACGGTTGCAAAGTTTGGCTCCAAAGCCTCTTTAACTGTAATCTGAAAAAGCTTATATGCCCTATCAACCCGCTTTGCACTACACAACCCCTCAATAAGCACATTATAAATATCCAAATCTGCCCTGTACCCTGAATCCATCAAATCCTTCAACAAATCAAAACCAGATCCAACCCTCCCATCCTTCACAAACCCTTCAATCAAAACCCTGTAGATTGTACTGTCAATTAAAAACTTCCTCTCCTTCATCTCCTTGAAGAACTCATACCCTCTATCAACCCTCCCTCCCTTGCATAACCCCATAACCAACGTTGTATATGCCATCATATCTGGCTTCACCCCATCCCTCTTCATCTCCTCCCAAACCTGCAAGCAACCATCCAAATTCCCCTCTGAAACAAGAACCTTAACCATAGCTGTATATGCAAAGACATCTGGCTTACATGATTTCTCCCTCATTCTCCTCAAAAGCTGCAGCATTTCCTCTATCCGCCCTGCCTTACAGAGCCCTTTTATCAGAATCATAAATGTAATGTTCTCTTCAGCTAGAACCTCCCCTTTAAAATCCTCATACACAGACAATGCTAAATCCAGATAACCATTTTTCACCAAGGCATCCATTATCCTATTATACAGAAAAACTCGCGGCTTTATTCCAAATTTCTTCATCTTTTCATACACATAATAAACCCTGAGCCCTCTATTCTGATCAGCATGCATTCTAATTAGAATCTCGAATTGCTTTTCACTCGGGGACTTGCCTTGGGAATACATTAATTCCGGCAACTGATCAGCAGCCCGGTAAAGGCCCTTTCTGTTGAGGCAATAAGCAAAAGCATTGTAAGAAGCAAAATTATGCTTAAATCCTTTCTGCTTACCTGCCCAGTGGAAGAACTTGGAAGCAAGGGCAGGGTTGTTCTGAACTTTCAGCACTTCGGCGACTAGAGTAGGCGTAACGCGGCGGAGCTTTCTGAGCTCAGAGACAACGGGTGGGCCCCACGTGTTTCCGTTCTTCCTGAAGGCATCGAAAATGAAGCGTGCAATGGGTGAAAGTTTTGGGTTTTGGCGAGGCATGTGAACAGGCGGGGGTGATGGGGATTCGGAGAGGTGGTGCGGATCCCATTTGCGGAGGTCGAAGGATTGAGAATCAGGTGGAGGAATTTGGAGGTCCTTGAGAGTCTGGCGGTTAGAGAAGAGGCCGCCGTAGACGACAGGGCGGTTTTGAGACGGCTTCCGGTGGCCGTAGAAGAAGTAGGGCTTTGTGGGTGCGGATTTGCCTGACATTTTTCTGTGGTTCTGGCCTCGCCGTCCCAGAATTTTGATTCGACGACTTAATTTCCATGCGAGGAAGAAGGAGAATAAAACGACGTCGTTTAACATTAACAAGTTTTTCCGATTTGAAGGTTTATTTATTTATTTTATTTTTATATCCCTCCATGTTTATATTTTTACTTATAAAATTTAAATTTAAAAATTTACCGAAAATTAAATTCTTCCCACTCAAATTAATAAGTCATTAATAATTTAAAAGTTATTTAATATATATGATTTTAGTATTATTTTTTTAAAAGTTTTTTTGCTCTATACTTTAAAGATACAAATTGAAAATATAATACATATATTTTTTGTAATTAATTTACATAAAAAAATTATAAAAATTAACATTTATTTTAATATTATTGATATATAAATAATTTTAATTGATTAATTGATTAATTTAAAATCAATACATATTCTTTTCATATAAATTAATTATATTTCTTAAATTGACTTATATCTTAATGTACATGTTAAAAAATATTATTTTTTAAATATGAAAACGAACATCAACTCGAGTACTATTGACATTTCAATCAATTTAAGTAAAGAATTATTAACATTAATATCAAGAAAAAAGCGGTATTTTAGAATGTTATAATAATTAAGAATTTAAGAACCTAAACCTCTACATTAAATGAAGGCACGTAAAGGGAGTTGAGGAGGGAGGGTTATCCTCTACCATATACTTATCATCGGCCATAAAAAGAAATATCAGGAGAAAAGCTACTATAAATAAGTATATAAATTTTATTATTTTTTATTTAAAGATGTGAATTTTTTAGAATTTTTGACTAAATAAAGATAGGAAACTTTTTGTTTTTTCTTGTTTTTTCTGTGTAAAAATTTATTGGTTGGCAATGACATGATAAATGATAATCTTAATCAAAATAAAGTAAAATTTGTATCTTTTAATAAAAAATGGTAAAATTCATATTTTTAAATAGAAAATAGTGTAAGTTTATCACTTAATTTAGAAACTTAAAAAGTTAATATCTTTAAGATTTTTATAATTCATGCCTTAAAAGTACTTTTTTATAATAAATACATATAGAAAAATGTAAAAATTTATGTTAATTTTAATATCAAATGAATTTAATTAGATAATTAGTAAACTTAAAAAGTTAATATCTTTAAGATTTTTATA